AGATGAGATGAGACGAATCAAGATATTCAAGAGAAGACTCGATGAAAGCTGAGATGAGACAAGAGCAGCGAATGAGATGAGACGAGACAAAACGAGATTAGATGAGAAGAGACGAGACAAATCAAGAGATTAGAGAGAAGACTACATGAAACCTGAGATGAGACATGACAAGATGAGTTGAGACGAGATGAGGTGAGGCAACACGAGATGAGATGAGACGAATCAAGAAATTCAAGAGAAGACTAGATGAGAGCTGAGATGAGACAAGAGTACAGAATGAGATGAGACGAGGCGAGGTGAGATAAGATGAATCAAGATATTCAAGAGAAGACTAGATGAGACAAGTGTAGAGAATGAGACAAGACGAGACAAGACGAATCAAGAGATTGTGAGGAGATGAGATGAGATGAATCAAGAGATGAGACTAGATGAGAAGAAAGAGCAAATGAGACAAGATGAATCAAGAGTAGGGCTGCACGGCTTTACTGATAAGATGCGCGTTAAATATCGCATGCGATTTATCGTGCAGCCCTAATCAAGAGGTGAGACAAGATGAATCAAGATGTGAGACAAGATGAGATGAGAGAAGATGAGACGACAGGAGACAAGATGAGACTAGACGAGGTGAGAGGAGACAAGACTATATGAGAGCTAAGATGAGACAAGAGTAGAGAATGACACAAGACGAGACAAGATGAATCAAGAGATTCAAGAGAAGACTAGATGAGAGCTGAAATGAGACAAGAGTAGAGAATGAGATGAGACGAGACAAGATGAGACTAGATGAGAGCTGAGATGAGATGAGACAAGAGAAGAAAATGAGAAAAGATGAGAAGAGAGATGAGCTTTGTCACACAGGTGAAAGCAGTGCTCAGACGAGTCTCATTATCATCTCAGTCTTGTCTCATGAAGAGAATGTGAAGGCTCAGGGTGGCGTTTGAGCTCTCATCGCTCTGTCAATGTATACAATATGTACTGTATAAAGCACTATAGAAACAAAACTGACTGACTCTTTAAAGATTAAAACAACAGGATCTTCTGTCTGACTCCAGCTTGACACACAGCAGCCCCCGCAAACACTCAGATGAAGCTTTGTTTTTTTCAGAACGAGCATGTCGAGAAGTAAACAAACTTCTCATTGCGCTAATATCATTACACATGAATTATAATTAGCATTTCAGGACTGAAGACATTAGGTTGCACTTAAATCTGAGCTAACCAGTAAAGCCACTGTTCCCGGAGTCAAAGGACAAATATGCTCTCGAGGACGTCTGAACGGGTCAGATGCAGAACGCATAAAAACTAAACGCCTGTCACAATCAATTAAAAGTTATGATCGCTGACCTGAACGCATCAATTAGCATGGCGGATTCAACTGTGTCCTTCTTGTGAGAAAAACATCAAATCGAGACTGTAATTACAAAATAATGTCCAAAGCACCAGGTGGTTTCATTTTGACGATCACTTACGATACTGTGCAATTAAAGCAACCTATAATTATCCTGACGTCGCTAATTAGATACACATTCGCTCTATTCTTATCACACAGAGCGATGCATGTGGAATCCTTTCAAGAGCCTTAATAACACACGCTAGTTAGAGATCAAACATCATCCAGTTGAGCTAATCGGGCAGCATTTGAGATCATTCCTAAATGCAGACGGGATGGAAATATCTCTAAGAATAGAAAGGAAATACAGGCGCCAACACATGGGCGTCTCCCGCGGCCCGATATACTCATCAATGTCAGATATGTGCATGTTCAACCGCTCCCAAAGCCGGAATGCTGTGTGGGTTAGTCTTCCTGACAAATGCGCTGGATGTTTTCATGAACACCAGTGAAGGAACATATTTCAGGCTGCTGAGGTTAAAACCACAGACGGACAGTCTCCGTTTACCGCCGTACTCACTACATGCTCGCTGTTGTTAATCTGAGGGTTACATGTGTGTTTGTGTTTGTGAATGAGGAACTTCAGGTCAGATCAGGGTTGCATGGACTTCTTCTGCTTCAGCAGCTTTTTTTCTCATGTTAAAATGATTTTGTTTTGAATTTCAGCAGATGGTCATTTGTAACTACCTTTTTAAAAATGCAAACACATAAAACTTACATTATAATAAAAATGCATGAAGCAAAGATTCACAAACAAGTAATAATAATTGCATGGAAATATGATATGATATAATAAAATATGATAAATAAATAAATAAAAAGTACACCCCGCAAGTTCAATTTCAGCTAAAGCAAAATATATATATATATGGATATATATTTACAGTAGTTTCAAAATGTATTTCAGGGGCAAAAAATATATTTCCAATCTTACAGCAGGCTACATTTAGGCTAAATGCAAATTGAAGTATATGAAAGGCAAAATATATATTTTTAAATATATTTCAAGATATGCAAAAATGGACAAAAAATATTGGAAGAAAATATATTTACACAAATACATCTTGAAAAATTTTAGCAAACA